GAGAAGAGCTGATACCAGTTCTACTCGAACTATTTCAGAACATAGAAATGGATGAATACTTCCAAGTTCACTCTCTGAAGCCAACATAACCTTGATACTAAAGCCAGACAAAGACAGCTTTAAAAGAGAAAACTACTGATCAATAAAAACAGGACAAAGAGCAGTGGTAAACACAGGGAGGAAGTGGGATGAGTGCTGTTGCACTGTAGGGGCTACAATCAAAGTCATGAAACAAAATGTGTATAAATTGTTGAGTTAAAAACAATTTGTTTTATAAACTTTTACCCAAATCACATAGAAAAATAGAGTAAAAGTATTAACCTCACCAAAACAGAATAAGCAATACACAGGGGCTTCAAAACTTCGTGGACATTTTTTATTAGCTTTTAATTTAATTTTTCTACAAACTTTTTGAATACCCCTCGTATTTAGCAAACAAAGTTAGTGATTATCTAACTTGTGACAAGAGACTAGTGGCAATAATGAAGAAGACAAGATGGGCATGTCAGAGATGAGGGGGGTTTGTCGGGGTAAAGCAGCCTGGGAGCCATGGCTGTCAGCTCTTACCTTCATCCACTCCATCCTAGGGCCTCCCCCACGTCTTCTTCCTACCTCTTCTAGACAGCAAGATTCTATTGCCAGACCTGGGTAAGATTTTTATCCAGAATGTGTACTAGAATTTTTATTTGGTTTAGAAATTGGAAACATTAAGAAGATGTACATATGATTTACCTGACTGTAAATGTGACTTCTAGGGTAGAAACATTTTGTAAGTCTCTCAGTACAAGTATTGCATTTCTTTTATTTTAGGGAGCTGTGTCTGGTTCGGGAACATGATGTAAAATTAACAAAAGAAGCAAAGAAGGCCCATGATGATTTGGCACAAGCTCTTTTAGATGCTGAAAAGAATGCCAAGTAAGTTGTTTAAAATTTTTATGACTTATATGGGTGAAGGAGAACTTTGTATGGGAGTTCTGTAGTACCGTTGGATCTGTAGTCATGAAAATTTCTAAAACTACGTCTCAATATATTTTCACTTGTGTTCCATTAATACTAGTATGCCCACAACAATTTTCATTTGACCAAAGTAAGAACTCCTCCTTAGGATAAAGGTAAGTACCACAAACTGCTAGAAGAATAAACAAATCTGTGTTGGAAGAAGTACAACCAGAATGCTACTTAGAAGACTTCATCTATTGTACTTTAGACATGTTATTAAGAGGAATCAGTCCCTGAAGAAGGGCATCATGCTTGGTAAAGTGGAGGGTCAGCGAAAAAGAGGAAAATCCCCAATGAGGTGGTTTGCCATAGTTGCTGCAGGAATGCGCTCAAGTTTAATAGCAGAGAGCAAACTTTGCCTGAGTGTCCAATATATTGGGAGCAGACCATACCCTGGAGGAAACTTCTTTTCAGTTGATTGACAACTCATAGCAGATCTCATCATAGAAGTGGTTATATTATATTAGATATTTTTATAAAGGATGACTAAAAACCGTGCTTGTCAGTGGGCCCACACAGTCCAAACCCATGTTGTTCAAGGGTCAACTATAAATAATACATGAATTTTCTATTGCTCATAGTCAGCACCCTTTGGTGTTCAAGGGTGGTTTATATTTTGTTGTGTTGTTCTTTGTCTGGCTTTGGTATCAGGGTAATACTGGTCACATAGAATGAATTAGGAAGTGTTTACTTCTCTTCTATTTTTTGAAATAGTTTGAGAACAATTAGTGTCGATTCTTTTTCAAATGTTGGGTAGAATTGACCAGTGAATTCATCTGGTCCTGAAGTTTGCTTTCTTTGGAGATTTGTGATTACTGATTCAATCCCTTCAATTGTTATAGATCTATTGAGATATTCTCTTCCTTGTTGAGCCAGTTTAGGTAGTTTATGTGTTTCTAAAAATTTGACCATTTTGTATAAGGAGTCCTGGTGTGCTGCTGCAGGATAAAGCAGTGGACCACAAGGTAGATTTGAACTGCAAAGTTGATGGTTCAAACTCATTAGCCACTCCTCAGAAACCCCAGACAGGATCACTATGAGTCAGAACTGACTCAATGGCACTTAACAACAAAACAATAACATATAAATTATTTAATCTGTTGGCATACGGTTATATTTAACAATAACACTCAAACCTTAAATTTTTTTATTGTCTTCTGTCTAGAAGTTCTGTCAGATATTGAAAGTTGTATATTGAAGTCCTCAACCATTATT